AAGAACACAACACAATGTCCCCGGCCAGGGCTCGAACCCGGACCGCTCGATCCGGAGACGAGCACACTAACCATGAGGCCACCGCGCCTCCCAAAGGATCGTAGCCTCGGGTGGGTGTTTAACTATATGAGGATGAAACAGCTACGGAATCCCATCTGTTGGTCTCCTCACTGCATTGAGTCAGAGGAGAAAAAACTGAAGTCATATCAGGTTTCATTTTTGTGGCAATTTTTTCTCTTGTTTCTTTCTTCTCATTTTAGAAACCTGCTCGAATAATGCCAATCCTTGGATTAAACGTTTGAGTTCTGGCGACTGCTACGAGTGTTCTTGCAATGGTGAAGATGTTAATTGTCATCTTACCTGGTGTGCACCATGCCCGGGCGTCACTGTTAACATTCCTGGACAGTGCTGCCCCCAATGCACTCCAAGTAAGTAGGGAAATATAGCAATTGGGTCTGCGAGACCCATGACTTGTGAATTAAGAAAATGTATTATTACTTTTAAACTTAAATTAACCAACATTTTAAAACGAAAGGGGATGGTGAAGGTTACCAAAAGGCAAGTATACTTTTTCCATTCTTACAAAATTAAAGTAGGTGGAACGCTCATAAAAACCATCACAAACAAACATTTCGCTGAAATAGCCATTATCAGTAAAAATTCCATTTAAGAGATTAAGAAGACAAATTTGTACAGTTGAGGTACTGATCAAAATGATTCTCGTTTCCGCCACCCAGGCCCATTTTTTATCCCATTGCGGCTCAGATAAAAACTGCCCATGGGACCAGGGAACAGCTGCGCGTACTTAAGGCCGAGATATCAAGTGTGCTAACGGGTAACTAAGAGACTGTGAAAGATCGAGAAACGCGCATTTGATCGTTTTAAGATCGAGTGTATAGTGGATACTACTATATAGCAGATACTTTGTTGAAAAAACAAAGAATACCTTTGATATTTTGCTTCCTTCCTTTCTTTCTCTTTTGAATTACTTTATATCCATTTAAGTTTCGCGCATCAAGCGGGGAGAGAAGTTTATTTTGTTTTGTTTATCCTAAACATTTATCAATACTTTACTGAACTGGCTTGTTCGATCCGTATTCGTAAATACTGGTGACCTTGTCATTTTTCAAGAACTCGACCAGTATGTCTGGGACCGATACGGACCCCTCTTTAAATCAATAACATACATATCTGGGTAGTTACAGTTTGAGTTATCTGAATTTTTGATAATTACATTTATTAATTAAAACACTGCATAATTCTGTTATTGACCTGAATTCTGCACAGCAACGCATCCGCCAGACTCCTTCACGATCCAGTGGACCACAACCCAGGCGTCGCCAAACTTTCCTCCGAACTTTCCTGGTTTCCCATTTCGCAAGCGTGACGTGATATCACCAGATGAACAGATTGACGACAAAGAGCATGATAGCAAGGAGCAATAAACATCACGTGACTAAAAAGTAAGTTAACAAGAGATATGAGAGAGACACTTAGTTATACTTGTGCAAAATAAAGAAAACTGGCAAGAATTTCTACCAAATGTCTCTGAAATGACCATTTTTCAGCATTTTTGGCATAAGCTTTATCACCTAAAGTGTTAGCTTTCAAATACTGTGCACTCAAAAGAGTTTCTTTCAAGGTCTCAAAGATGAAACTTAACGAGCTGAGGAAATTGATTTATACATCAAGTTTACGGAATTTCAGAATTGTGATGTGAGAAACTACCACGAACGTCTACTAACGGCCACTGTATTTTCGTCGCAGTCAAGAGATTAGGGAGCTTGAGCAACGACGACGGCGACGCCGAGGACGACGCCTAATAAAAAATGATTTTTTTTTTTTTTTTTTTATCAGCAAAATTCGCATTCGTCTAGTTCTGCTCAGTACGCCAACGACTCTAAAACCGTGCTCAGGTTAAATAAACAATGACTTTGTTCAATTTCAAATGGTAATAGGAAAAATTAGCCGTCGTCGTTCGCGTTCCTCAAACTTCGCAGAAATTGTTCACGTTCTTGTTTTGCAGAGAACGGCAAAGAAATGTACGAACATTTATAACGCACGTGCACTGGCACTGTTTTGCTCATTAAACCTTTTGTTTGGTAACGTTCTCGTTGCCGTCGTCGTCTTGGTTTGTTTAAACTCCCTCTTCAGGCCCTTATTTTAATCTTACAAAAATGGCCACCTGTCCACAATGGCCAGTAAACCCTCCCTCCAGGGTGGCCGTTGTAGAAAGGTTTGACTGTACGATACCATGAACGTTTAAAACTTTTGAGTTTTTTTCTCTGATTTCCAAGCTTATTGGCGTGTGAGAATTTCAGGTTGAAGCTGGCCCTATAGTAAAATGAGGTGCTTTGAACGTTTCGGAGAATTGTGGACGTCATTTTGTGTTTTGTGTGACTAAAATCAGAGAAGTGTACTATATTTAAATCATATCGACAAATATGTGTAGACTATCAACGTCACTCAATTGAGTTCAAATAACGCACGCGCGTTGTTTGCATATGTTTTCTTGTTGAATTATGTTTCGATACGACCTTTCGTATTCGTCCGTTGTACCACGCACTTTTATTACGGAGTTAAAGAAAACCAAACCGCCAACGGAAACGGAACCCTGTGCACGCTGCCCACATGCGTTATAATTTTTGGTACATTTCTTTGCCGTCCTTTGTAAAACGACTGCGTGAAAAGACCAAATTATCTTATATAATGAGACGTCGACTGCCTTCAGGCCATGAATTAGAGGTGGTAGTCAAGTCAGGTTAAATGATACTAAAATGACTGACTAAGTGTTTTCTTCAGACTACAACAACGTGGCTTTGTGGTCCTTAGGCGGGGTATCACTGTGTGTGTAGATG